CCAAACCATTCTATGATTCTATGATTTTGTCCCTTGTTCCCACTCCTCAGCTGCTGCTTCTCACTCCTGTGTAATTCCTTCAGTTGTGTAGATCCAATTGTTTGTGAGGTCATACTGTGAACTGCATCAGTGAGATCACTTGGTTTAAAGTACTTATTAATTGCACTGTTTTGTTTTGTTTCAAGAAAACGGTGTATTCTGAAGAACTGCCTCTCCTATCAATGAATGAAATTGAATGAAACTATTAAAACAGAGTGCTGAGCTCGATTCTCTCCATTTGATTCTTTGACAGTAAATTATCTTACAGATTATCTCAGCAACTGTCTTTTTTTTTTTTTTTTTTTTTAATTCCCCTTAGATTTTGAATTCCCAAATAACAGATACTGGCAGGTATGTCTGCGTTGTGGAAAACATAGCTGGAAGTGCCAAGAAGTATTTTAACCTAAATGTTTACGGTAAGTGCAATAAATCATAATTTTCTGATTGCTATCTTTCAAATGTTAGTTTAGCTTGATGGTGTTAATTTTAGCAGATTGCTTAGGGACTTACTTAACTTTACGTGTCTAAGTCATCTTATTGGGTGTAATGGAGATTCTGACATACTAGAAATCAAATATAAGTTTAAAGTATGTTGGCAGCATGTGGCTTTCGATACCACATAGTTTTAGTTCTTTATATGTATTCCACATAGTTAGAAATTATTATTGGAAGCGCCTTGTGTAGTGGCTGTGCGCGTACACTGTCTACAGGCTGCAAAGCCCTCATATCATGAATTACAAACAGGTTGCATTATAGAATATTTTGATATGTTCATATAATGCATTTTCCAAGAAAATTGATTAGAAAACATTAAACAAAGAGATACAGCATTGTAGAAGCTTACTTTTTAAAAATTTAACCTTTTTGAGATTCCATTCTGTTATCTATTTTTTGCTTTGTTGTGGAGTTAGAATAGGGTTAAAATAAATTTTGGCCTTCAGCATCACAAGTCTAACCCAAATACAATCAAGAAATCAAGACATATTCCACTGTGTTAAAAAAAAAGACTCTCCACAACCTTGCATTAACTCTTCTAATTAACTTTTCTGAGTAAAACCTAACTTCCTTTTTTATTTCTGCCTGCTCTTCATGGCACTACTTTCAGCTTTCCATTCTGAACTGAAGATCAAATAAGCATTACTCTGCATCATCTGCACCATTACATTTTAAAACCTACCAAGAAATACTGGCACATACATCTTTACCTGCTTTCACAGTACAGTCTGGAGTCTCCTACGTATGATCAGTATCTTTTGTCGTATCCTTGTTAGCTAGTAATCTTCTGTATTACATACTAGTTAGAAAGCAAGTGCTGTCTTCTCTCTCACTTAAATATAGTACCCACAGTGCAGGAATTATTCAGGTTATTACATGCAGAAGAAATAATTGTATTTTTTCCTCATTCACACATGCAGCAAATTTACATACTAAATGAAACAAATTTAGAGTGCTTCTTTTCTCTACTCAGTAATACAATTAGCCAAAAAAAGTGTTTCGTGGGAAGAACTTGCCCTGGAGTCATTCTCTGAGAAGTTATTTTCTTTCAGTGGAGTCTGTCCAGTTATCCTGATGTTTGAGTTTTAAATCCAAATATTTCACTTTTCTTGACAATTGTGTTTAAATCAAAACATCTTGCCTGTTTTTTTGTTTTGTTTTTTTTTTTAATTACTATAGTCTAATGTTATTATTTTAGAAGAAATATTTGCATGAATCTTCAATTCAATTATTCTCTACGAATGCATTTTCATTTGATAAATTAGTCTATAGCTGTTCAGGAAAGGACCACACAGGGTGATGCACTGATGAAAATGCATTATCACTAAGCAGCATGATCTTTGTTTCATCAGTGTCAAAAAAGGTTATTTTCCAGTATTTCTGTATGTTTCTAATGGAACTGCTTTCATTAATTTAGATAAATATTGAGGATAATGCTCTTTAATAAGTCAAAAATTCACTTCTTGTGTCAAAGGTAACAAAATTAAAATAAAACCTTCTAAAACATTGAAAATAAGCATCGAGTTTTAAAATATCAACCTCTAATTTTAATAAATAAGTAATTTTCACATTCAATACTAAAACAGAGCCCCTTAGTGCATCTGTATGCACATAGAAGCAGATTGTGATATGCAGATATGTGGATTACCTGTGGTGCATTTGTGAGTGCTTTTTGTATGCAGTGGGGGCTGCAGAATTTGAAACCTGCCGCTTACATAGATTAATCAAAATTAATTAGAAGATAGCTCAGATTTGGCCTTATATATTGGATTGTTCACTATCTTGCACTACCCAGAATCACATCTGTGGGAAAGTAACTGGAAAAGTAAATAAATATAAATAACTAAAATGTCATCGGATCAGAATTCACCACTTATTCTAGTGAAACATTTTATGCTTATCATCAGGAATAACCTTCAGTTATTCCAAGTTGAAAAATATGGACTGAATTCACCCAATTACATTGATTCTTCTTGTTTCTGGAGTGCCACAGAGGAGCAATAAACCTTGGCTTAATGACTGTTTTGTATCATTCAAGTGACAGAAAGCAGCTGGAGTATTTCTCGTGGATATGGTCCAAAATACTTTAACATTTCTGTCTTTGAAGAAGAGGATTCCATGTGTTCTTTGGAATGATTTTTCCACATAACAGAGCCAAGAACATGCTTTTGCTTTCCTCTTAAGTGTTTTATATATCCACACTGCAAAAACATTGAAACTAAACCTTGGGGTTTATTAAAAGGAAGAGATTGACAGTTATTTCATTTAAAATGGTTCTTGTTGAAAGGTCAAATGTCAAAATATTCTTGTATTTAAAAATACTGGGACTTGTAAGCCTAAAAATGCACCCCTTAGAGCAATGTTTGCGTGCCAGAATGTTAAACTTCTTAGCTGACTATAAAACAAGTTTGTCTGTTTAACAAAAGAACTCTAAACTGTATCAGAATGAATCATTTTGGTTCTCTATAATGAGAAAATGGACTATTTCAGAAAGAATAGGAATCAGGAAGAAAACATACTTAGTCATCCTTCATATCCTGACAAGGTAAATTTAGTCTATCTTGCCCTTAACAGCAAATGTCTGTGAGTACAGTGTTTTAAAATTGATAGTGCATTAGTCAGGAACTGCAGGATCTCTTATAAGTTAATTAGCCTTCCCAAACCCATAGAAGAACTGCAAATGAAATCACTGATTTTTTTGGAGGGGAATTATAGTAACAGGAATCACCATTAGCTTGGCTTTAGTCATATTTCCAGATATATCCCCAAAGCAGTGAATCCACTCAGAAGATGTGAAAGATTTTTACAACTTTGCCCTTTGGCAAAGCTCAGCAATTCACCTTTATTTTAGTAAATCAGGATGTTGTGGAATATTGTTTATTGATGCTGTGATATATACTATTAGTGTGTTTCTCTCTGCAGTTCCTCCAAGTGTTGTTGGTACTAATCCTGAGAATTTGACTGTGGTGGTGAATAATTTCATCTCTCTGACTTGTGAGGTCACTGGCTTTCCACCTCCTGATCTCACCTGGCTCAAGAATGGGGAACCGATCAGTTCAAATACCAACACTCTTCTTGTGCCTGGTGAGAACTCAGCTATTTCTGTAGCCTTTCAACTGAAGTTCTGTCTGGTTTGTCTTGATAATGGCACTATTTATGGAGCCAGTGTATTCTTAGTATTGCTTCAGTGAGTAGACAAGACACCTGGCCTACTGTGTTTAATAATTTTTTGTCTTTTGAGTGGGTTCATTTTTAAAGAAAACTGGCTGAGACTGAAAGCACTGAACTAAACTGTGTGGAAAAAACTATAGGGCAATTCATGTAACAGAGGTGCTCTGATACAGGTATTCATTAAAGTTGAGTCACTTTGACTCACCTTTCAAAGAAACGATCAGAAATTTTGTGGAGCTAAGTTAAATTCTGCTGGTTAGATGACAAAAAATAAAATATCTTCGCATTGACTTCAGTGGGAAACTGGATTAACCCTCCTGAACTCTCAGGAAGAAACCCTTGTATTCTGAGGTCTTCTTTACCATTCAAAGCTCCCCACTAAATAAGGTCCAGGGGTGTCTGTCGTTTCTATTGCTGCTGCTTACCTTCAGCCCAGGGTAAAAAGTGAAGATCACCTGCTCTGCTGCCCAGTCCTGTTGTTTTGGTACAACATGACAGGTGGGCTGTGTTATAGCATTGTCTAAGGCACAGACATGGAAATTGTTTAATTGCAATGGAAGCGTCTGTGCAGATTAGTAAAGGAGGCAGAGGCAGTAAGCTTCACAAAGGGAGACAGGTGAGACTGAGGAATAAAGAATGGGATAGTGACAAAGTTAAGTGGAAATGGCATAGTTATGTTAGAAGACAGTAGTTAGACGCTATGAAACAAACAGGTCTAAAAGGAGTATTTGTGGTCCAAGCACTCACGAATTTACCCTAAAATTTTATTTCTCTTGATTAAATTTTATTTGTTTTTTAAGGAACCTTAAAAGCAAATGACACTGCAGTGCTTTTTTGAATTAGAGGTTAATTTAGTACCTCTGTCAGTCTGTTGGACCTGTTATTTTAAAATAGCATTTGAGATTGGTAAAATAAGCACAGAACAAATCTCAGGCCTTCTGTCTTCACTTCAGGTGCTCGTACTCTGCAGATTCCCCGAGCCAAACTACTAGATGATGGTGAATATATTTGTATTGCCAGAAACCAAGCTGGAGAAAGTCAGAAGAAGAGTTTCCTAAGTGTCCTTGGTTTGTTTTTTACTACTTTCTGAAATTACATCTATTGCTTTGAAAATGCAGTATTCCGTATTTATTTTTATTAGGCTGTTTTTTGCTCTTTCACAAAACAAAGGCAGAAATAACTTTGAGCTGCTTCTACAGTGCCCCCAAGCATCAAAGACCATAGTGGAACCTCACTGACAGTGCTGAACGTAAGAGTGGGAACCCCAGTGATGTTGGAGTGTGAGTCCAATGCTATTCCACCACCAGTCATCACCTGGTACAAGAACAGGCGCATAATTTCAGAGTCTGCAAATGTGGAGATCTTAGCAGATGGGCAAACATTACGAATCAAGGGTGCAGAGGTAAGCCAGGCTTGTGGGATGGTGCATCTGCCTCTGCTCTGCTATTGTTAAGCTATTATTTTGCTATTTATTGGTGTATTCTACCAGCTGTACACAGGAGATGTATTTGCTGGGGAGACTTTCTTTCTGTGAAAAGGACCTTGAGTTGGCAGAGGCAAAAGCTGTTAGTACCTCTAAATTGTAGCATTAAAATAAGACTCCATAATAAGTTTTATTTATTTATTTACTTTTATTTTAGGTTTCTGACACAGGCCAATATGTGTGCAAAGCCATAAATATTGCAGGGCGAGATGATAAAAATTTCCATCTTAATGTTTATGGTGAGCATACTCTGCATTATCTGCAGTAGTTATTATAATACCATAGATATTGTAGAGTAGACAATTCAAAATCAGTTTACAAAAATATTTGATAACCAAACCATTCTTATTGCTTCCGTTCAATTTTTAGTGCCACCAAATATAGAAGGACCTGAACGAGAGTTGGTCAATGAAGCTATCAGTAATCCTGTTAGCTTTGTGTGTGATGCTACTGGAATTCCTCCACCAACATTAGTGTGGCTTAAGAATGGAAAACCAATAGGTATTCTCTCATGTTCTTTTCCACTGTTTTTTCCCCTTTGGGGCACCACTGTGCAGTTTGCTGTTTATTTTTTGTTTCTTCTTCATCTGTCTCTAGACAGACTGTTATGTTAACCGATTGGAATCTTTGTTTTGAGATTTTGATGAAAAATATCTCAAGATACGTTTGCTCTCTGTGGTCTGGTTTGGAATATCTATTTGTTTACATATTTGCAGAAAGCTCTGACTCTCTCGAAGTTCATATTTTATCTGGTGGAAGCAAGCTTCAAATTGCTCGCTCTCAGCTTCTAGACAGTGGAACCTACACGTGTATTGCCTCAAATATAGAGGGAAGAGCTCAGAAAACTTTTGTGCTTTCCATTCAAGGTAAGGCATGAGAGTGCTGTGAACAGAACTGGCTAATACTGGAAGAGTATGACACTGTGTCTGTGCTAAAGATGCTGAGATAACATAGGTATGTAGAAAAGTGGAAAATTTGGACCATTATTTATTTGTATCATGTTCAACCAGTGAGGAAAAATTGTAAGAGGATTATATACTTAGAAATTTGCATGAAACAGAATTCTTAACCTTGAACTTGAAACCAGTTGGAAGGGCTTTGTGTGTTTGCTGCTGATCACATCCTTCTTGAACACTGAAGCTGCATTTGTTGATTGAATGTGGAACACTACACATATATGGATTAAAAAGCAGCGATACCTGTTGCCTTTTTTGCCATAGCAAGTAAGAGATAGCAAAGAAATACCGTCAGAATTTTCTCATGCTTTTTTTTTTCACCCCTGCTCAAATGAGAAACCTTTATTTGCTATGGAATTGGCTCCTGCCTTGCTGTTTGTCACCCTTATGGTGCATCTGTCTTGTTTTCTTCTGTTCCTTAATGACTTATCCCCATTAATTGCGCTAGTTCCCCGCCGTGTCCAGTAACACATCTGTTGTATAGCATCTCCAGCTTTCTGCCATCGTCCTTTCCCATGCCAGCAGTTGCTAGTTGAGGAACAAGAGGCCACATCAGCTGTGAGCTGAATGTGGTGGCACACCCCTGTGTGATGGCTGGCCACCAGCAGGTCGAACAGATCTAGTAACTGTTCATCATACTGATCATTCTTTGCGGCTGCTGGATTTTTGTGTGTGTCCCTGCCTACTAGTTTTTCCCCAAGTTTAGGAATTTAATATCAAGCTGCTTGTTTGGTCAAATGTGACTAAAATTGCTTGAAATGCTCCAAACTTACTAGTGGGACTGATGGTCTTAACTTGGTGGATAACATGACTGTTATTCTTGTTCTTCAAGCAAACAGGCTAAAAATGGCTGCTGGCTAGGATGGAGTTAGTATGTGTCTGTTAACAGGAATATGATGGTTGTGATGCAGTAGAGCATTTGGCCATGCTCTAAACATATGCTCAAGAGTTAAACAGACATTCAGTTGTTACAGTGCATTGTGATGTTTAATGAAATAGGATTTTTTCATAATATTATTGTACATGTTAGCATTGCTTGAAGAGAAAGCTGTAGATATTAAATATAATGGCAAAGATACATGTCTTTTATGATTTTGTAAATTGACTGGTTTAAGTGATCGAAGTGGCTTTGAATTCATATTTGCAGAACCCCCTCTAGAAACAGTATAATCATCATGTACATTCTAAACTAGATTTGAAATGGAGATGCTGCAATAAATGCTAGTACTCATGAGCAACCGCAGTGTAACTTCTTATAGTTTAGATTGTTTCTTGCTGATGAATATTCTCTTTCCTCCATCATGCTTTTCCAGTTCCTCCTAACATTGTTGGCTCTGAAACGCCTGGTGAGGTCAGTGTCCTCCTGGGAGAACCCATCCAGCTTGTCTGCAATGCCAATGGAGTGCCTGCGCCTGTTCTGCAATGGCTTAAAGATGGAAAAACAGTTGCTAGTGATGATTTACAAAGAATAAGGCAAGAAAAAAATAAGCAAACACTGCATTCTCTTCTACAGTTTTAAACCTTAGACGGTCCTAAAGAGGGAGCATAAAAAACGGTCCTGAGGAAGGAGTGTAAAGAGGACCTGAGTCTTAGCTTAGGTTAAGAACATTATCTCCCTCTGTAGCTTCTATAAACCTAGTATACTTTGTAACTACTTCTTTTTTATATTTTATTTTTTTCCCCCACAGAGATAAGAATATGATAGCTATTTCTTTCTCAGTTAATAAATTCCATTAAGGCTTATCAGGTTCATTAAATTTATTAAGGTCAATAAGTTCCATTGAGTTTCTTTTGAGGGAAAAGGTCTGAGACATGGAAACATTTATCTCTTGATGCTTTTTGCTATGGAATCTTCAAAAACCTGGTTGGAATTGAATCCAAATGCAAGGTTAAACAGGGCATCTCTAAGAAAAGATGTCTAGCCTATCTCTAATGAAAATATCTGCAAAAAACAATGGTTCTCTCACCAAATTCCCAAGAGGAGAGAGTAGTTGATTTAAATGTATAAAACTGACTGTTTATTTGCCAGGTCATAGGAATATGTAAACAAATTCACTGCGTTTTATGACCTTCCTTGTAGAGTAACTCCAGATGGCAGCACATTAAACATTTTCAGAGCTCTCAGTTCTGATACAGGAAAATACACTTGTGTGGCTACTAATCCTGCAGGAGAGGAAGACCGAATTTTCAACTTGAATGTATATGGTGAGTTTTCACAGATGTGAAGCTGAAATCTGGTCCATAAACCTATCTTTGTAAGCACTCCCAAGAGAGGACCAAGAAATTAATGCCTGTCTTCAGCGTAATACTATATGCATGTGTTTCCAATTTCATGTACTGTAGATATCACAGTATATTAACCAGGATGTTCTGTCAGTGACAAAATGATTGAAATTGCTGGAAATGTGTTTTGTGGAAATGTGTTTTGTGATAAACAGAAATTAATTCCTTTGGTGTATTTGGAGTATGTCATAATAGAGAAATTCTACTTGCAGTCATTTTTTTATTTATTTATTTTTTCCCTGTAGAGAAAGAGAAATCTAGGGCTGATTTACTATGATACCGCTTTTTTGTTGTAGTAGTTTATCTTCACTAATTCCAATTGAAGTACATCAGCTAAAACCAGAGTAGCATGGTAGGGAACTAATAGTTACAGGTTCCTAGAATTTTAAAGAAAAATGCTTGAGTTTTGGATTCTTCTTTTGTACATTTTGACATACATAAGATAGTGAGCATTAACTCTTCAGCAGTGTAGAAACTGGACACTTTATTTTGTGAAAAGAGTGTTCATTAAGTGCAATGACTAGTGTGAAAGAGTGAAGAGTTCTTGTCATTTAAACCCAGTTGGTAACAGAACCATGCAGCTGCTCATTCACTCCCCTACTTCTTCCCACCCTGCTCACAGAGGGCTGGGGAGGAGAATCGAAAGAATGTAAATGCCGTGGGTTGAGATAAGAACAGTCCAGTAACTAAGGTACAATACCAAACTACTACTGCTACTGCCAATAATAATAATGATAAGGGAAACAAGGGGAGAGAATATAAAAATAAAAGGGGAAAGGGAAAAAAACAATAAACACAAGTGATGCACAATACAATTGCTCACCACCCGCTGACCGATACCCAACCTGATCAGAGCAGCGATGTGGGCTTTCCGGGTAACTTCCCCCAGTTTATATGCTGGGCGTAATGTGCCATGGTATGGAATACCCCTTTGGCTAGTCTGGGTCAGGTGTCCTGTCCCTGCTTCCTCTGGGCTTCTTGTGCCCCTCCTCACTGGCAGAGCATGAGAGGCTGAAAAGTCCTTGATTGGAGTAAGCATTACTTAGCAACAACTGAAAACATCGGTGTATTATCAGCACTGTTCTCAGACTAAAATCAAAACCCAGCTACTAAGGAGGAGGAAAATAACTGCTATAGCTAAGCCCAGGACATAGGCACAGGTAGCATTTCACAGTGGTGTAAATGTCTGTCCCAGATATACAGGGACTCAGAATCAATTGGAGTATGAGCATGAGCAGAGTAACAGGAGATGGCCTTTGACATGATAAGTAACAATACGGAATGACCACATCACATCTTCTGGGGACAGAATGGCACTACACAACAGTGAAGACCTTTTTGATTGCTTTGTATTGGTTGAGGTTCAAGCAATAATGAACTTAAGTGGTCTTATCTATGCAACTGTCATATAGTGTATGATGGGAACTTAAGTCAGCCAATGTTTGAAGCTGCATGTGGCTGGACCTTCTTTACGGAGTGAGTGGGTAAGTCCCCTCTTGGCCCCAAGACCAAGGCTTTCAAACTAACCTATAAAACCTTAATTTACTCTTTAAAAAATATGTGAATCTTCTTATTGAATTGCCTGTGGGGCATCAGGTGCAGGATTTCCTGCAAGGTAATGCATGTGGAATGATTTTAAGAGCAGGTTTTAATATCTTCCTTTTCAACATTTACGAAATTTAGTTCCTCCAGCAATCGCCAATAATAAAGATGAACCAGAGGACCTCACTGCCCTTTTGGACACCTCCCTAAATATTGAATGTACTGCTACTGGAACCCCACCACCACAGATTAACTGGCTAAAGAATGGCCTTCCTCTGTCTGTCTCCTCCCAAATCAGGTTGATGTCAGCTGGGCAAATTCTCAGGTTGGTTTTCATGTATTTTAACTAGATGAGTTTTCTCTTCTCTTTTTGTATATCAGCATAATTTAGCTAGTATTTTTGGAAGCAAAAATAAGATTTGCTCAAAACCATGCGATAATAAAGATAATGTATTCCATTACAGCTTGCTTAAAATTATTTTTCTTTAGATTTGCCCGACTACAGAAATCTGATACTGGTGCATACACTTGTGTAGCATCTAACAGAGCTGGAGTGGACAACAAACATTACAACCTTCAAGTTTTTGGTAAGTTTCTCTGAAATGCTTATGTAAAGAATCTTATTTCTTTATTTCTTAAACCCAATGTTCTTTTTTTTTTTTTTTCTCATCAACACAAAGTTGCAGCCACAAGTATATCTTAAATAAGTAATCATTAGGGAAACATTAACTTTTCAATGTGTGTGTTTGGGTTTTTTTTAATGGAAAGTGTTTAACCTTAGAAGAGTCCTTACTTGAATTGGCACACATAATGTCATAGGTTTTTCAGAAAGAGTAACAATGTATAATTTCTAAGTGAATTTTAACACATGTGGTAAACATGAATGTAAGTGGGGAAATGCAAATGGGTAACTGCATTCCAATTTTTAAATATTTAGATTAACATCTCGGTTGTACTCTGTATGAATCAGATCTTTGTTTCTCGGCAGTACTACCAAGCTTGGATAACGCAGGAGGAACAGAGGAAGTGACTGTAGTAAAAGGCAGTTCAGCTTTGATGAAGTGTCTTACTGATGGCACTCCTGCTCCTACTATGTCCTGGTTTATGAATGGACGTCCTTTAAGCCTCGGAGCTCACCTGACATCAAGTAACCAAGGAATGGTCCTTAATTTTGTAAAAGTAGAGACTGGTGACACAGGCAAATACACTTGTGTAGCATCCAATGAGGCTGGAGATACCAGCAAACATTTTTCTCTGAAAGTGCTGGGTAAGCGTTAACTTTTCAGTTGAACAAAATGTAAGCAGTAAATGAGCATCTACTAAGGACAACAATTAAAAAATCTCTAGGGATAAGGAGTATTTTCAAGAAACATTTTCTGTGATTAATGAGAGAAATAAGGAAATGGAAGATACTTAAGATGTGTGAATGAGTACTTCAGTGTGTTTTTTCCCCCAATGTTTCCAGAGTACTGAAATATGCTATACTTAATAGTAAACTAATATACAAAGTAATTTGTTTTAAATTAATAACTTTAGTTAATAGAAATTCACCTTAAAAGCATGACAGTGCAGCTGAAGGCATTGCTGAAGGTACAACAGCTAAAGGGCTTATATATTCACGGATATTATGCAATATATTTTACTTGGGATTATGAAAATATTTTCTAACTAATAATTCCAACTCATGAAATATACAAATTAATAGACAAAGGCAGATGGAAATCTCATGAGATTGTGAGTTCATGGTAGAAATAATACTAATGTAGAGTAATTCCACAAGCTTTAGTCATAAGGCTGAGTATCATGTTTTGTAGGCTTTTTGAATCAATAAAGAACTTAAATGTTCTTCTTTCCACAGAGCCGCCTCACATCAATGGCTCAGATGAACCAGAAGAGCTCTCTGTCATCGTTAACAACCCTCTTGAACTTCTCTGTATCTCTTCTGGCATTCCGGTCCCCAAAATTTCATGGATGAAGGATGGGCGCCCGCTTCTGCTGAATGATAATGTTCATGTCTTAAGAGATGTCCTTCGAATAACCAGTGCTCAGGTAGAGTATTTGTTTCAAAATAGGCTCAGTTTTGTAAACCCTAGAGTGTGCAGAACTACCTTCTATTAGGACCATCCTGATAGATGTCCTAAAAATCATCCACCTGCATTTGTGGTTAGAGGATACAATTTTCAAGCCTTGCCTTAGAGCTTTCCATACAGAACAAGCAACAGTATTATGCCTTGAGAGTGTTCAAGCACGTCTGCCTCTCCTGAGCATTATACTTCAAATTCATTTCAGACTTCTGTATTTTTTAATTTGTCGGTGCTTGTTATAAAGCAGTACAATTAATGCTGGGGACTCATCTTTTTCTGGGGTTAGTTCTGGTTTTAGTCTGTGGCTGTAATCTGTTCTTGTTAATTTCCTACCTATTTGACTCTCATTACTTTACTATCTCTTGCTGTTCTTCTTTCAGGTTTTATAGTTCCTCCTCAGGCTTTCTTCTCTGTCCATTAGCCCAGATTTTCCTAATACCCATTTGTTTCTCACATTATAAGCCATAAATTGCAGAGAAAAACTGAACTTGCAGTCATCTGTGTGCAAATTAAGAAAAAATAAATAAAGACAATAGAAAGACTTTCGGATTAATTCAGACAATAATAGAGTCCAGGGGAAAAGTACCTTTTAAGACCTGCACCTAAGGATGTATTCAGCTGTGAACAGCTGGACTGAAGTTCACTAAACAGAAGTAAGACTGGCTTGTGACTGCTTGCTGCTTGTTTAACTTGTAAAGCAAATAATTCTTGTCATTACAATAAAGAGTTTACAGGAAGGATAATGCATAAAGGTATTAATGATTATGGGTGCACAAAGAGATTTCCTTTTTACCCAAAACTGACCCTTGCTTAGATGGATACCTATAGCTAGTTCCATCTTTATTGATTACCTGTTGCAAAAAGCATTACAAAGAGAAGGGTTCTTGCTGGAGACACATTATCCAGGGGGATTTTATGGGGTCCTGCAACTCCTAAGACATCTTTGTACAATCCCACCATGCTAAATAAAGTTTTCTAGAACTTCATTAATTTATTTTCAGTCATTCCTTATTTATTGTGTTTGTGGTCATGTGCTGCCTGTTATATGTATTGCCCATGTTTGTATTTCAGGTTGTCTGAATTTTTTCCATATTCTGAGGTTTCTGCTGAAGTTATTTGTGTGTTTTTAGGTTGAAGACACGGGAAGATACACGTGTTTAGCATCTAGCCCAGCAGGAGATGACGATAAGGAATATTTAGTAAGAGTACATGGTAAGTTTAATTTAGGGGAAAAAAATATTCCTTCAAATATACCACTAAGGTATCTATCAGTATCTCATTTTACAAGTTGTATGTTACTAAAGAATTACATGTTTTGAGAAAGTCGTGTTACACCATGTGATCATAACTAACATTTCTGAATAAGGGTAACTATCTGAACAGGATACACAATTAAAAGGGAAAGTTCCACCTGATGCAACTGATTTCTGTTATAATGCGTTTATATATACATTTATATATATATAATGCAAGTCTTGTATTTTGAATATTTAGGAAGTTTATAGATATCAGTATTCAGTTGGACTGAGTTTATTGTGCTTACTGAAAAAGAATGTGAAGTAAATTGATATCTATAATCATCTTAGGTTTTCAGTATAAAAAGGTAAGAAATATTTTTAGAAATGAGTATGTAAAATGTAATGACAGTAAAGTAAGTATAAATGGGACTTCTGCTGTTTCTTGATGATTATAGCTCCCATATTTATTGATTAACAGTTTATAGAACTTTAGTGATCTCTGCTCTGTATGGTTTAAATGCTGGTACTCTCACTGAGAATGGACTTTAATTTCTGTCACAGCAGTTTCCAGTGTGTGACTTAAGAAACATGTTCACCTGTTAAACAAATGTGATATATTTAACACAAATATTAAAATGTAGAGCTAATTAATCATACTGTAGTTTTCCATTTTTTTTTAACTTAAGAAAAAAATTGGAAATTTTCAATTAATAATTTCAATGGAGCTCATATGTTTGGTGTTAATTTTTTTCTTAATTCTTGTAACAGTTCCTCCTAATATTGCTGGTACCAGTGGTCCACAGGACCTCACCGTGTTGCAGAACAGACAAGTTATACTGGAATGCAAGTCGGATGCTGTGCCACCTCCGACAATCTCATGGCTTAAAAATGGAGAACTTTTAGAGGTATAGTGGTTACATTACTTGTACTAGTCTTTTGTTCCCTTTATTTTTTTACACACACTGCTTGAGGTTTCTTATTCTGCTCACTTGCCCCTTCAGTGCAGTCCAAGTCATGGTGCCTTGAATTCAAGAGAAGCTGAGTAGCCCCAGTACAAATACAGTTAGTCCTAAATGAGTACCTGAAGCTAGCATGTGAAGTGGCCATCCCGCTGTTACTTGTTCTTTTTTCCTTTAGGGGGATCCCTTGCTCCTCCTGGATCCTCTGAACAATGCTAGAAGCCTTCGGTATACTCCTGAATGGCTTCCCAGGAAAGGTAGCTGAGAAAAGACTACACTATATGTTTCCTTTGGGTATATTATGCATCCTCATATACTAGTAGTTTTTAGAAAGGGATTTAAATAATTTACACTGGAAAAAAAGAAAGGAAAATCGGTTGCTAATCACCACAGTTTTTCATTAAATGCATCTTTCTTACTCAGAATTCCATGTTAAGGCATCAAGTCTTTGCTGGTTGAGAGACAATTAGGAAGATGAGGATGGTTTATACAGAAACGAATTTTTACTTTCCGTCCTCTTCCTTGAAATCACTCAAAAACCAGGTGGTTTCCAACTGAACAATTTAAGTCCTGTTATCAACTAAACTTAATTGATAATTTTTCCTCAATTGCTTTTTATTCATTAATAAAGAGGAAACAAATTCAGCTTATTAATTGTGTCTTCCTTAACTGTAATCCATCAGTAGTCTTCACCCAAAGTTGTTATTTGCTTTCCTTCTGACATATCATTCTTCAGACTCTTTATTGTAGTTTTAGAAGAATGAAGTATTAGCAGAAGAAATAAGAATATGGTGGGTGATAATGTCTTACTAAGTGCTGCTCGGGAATGTTATCGTGAATGTAGCACACGAACAAACTAGAAACAAGATTAACTTAAACACTTTTTCTGAATGGCTAAATAGTTAATTGGATAGTGATTTTTAAATATTTTTGTTACTGAAAGCAAGGTTGAACAAGGTTTGGAAGTTCAGAATGTGAACAATTTTGCCTCAGTCTTTCAAGGAAAGCTTGTGATATAAAAGCAGTGCTTAACAAAAATAAAGCATGAAATGAAGCCACCGTTTTATGGTGAAAATTTGTAGCAGAGCAATTGAGGAACATTATGATAGACAGGTACTCAGCTGATAACCTGTGGATTAAGTTTTTTAATATTAGTTTTCTTGCCTCATGAGAACATGTGTGTCAGTATGTGAGGGCTGAGGCATCTTGGTTGTGTGGTATAGTCAATCCCCTGCCTTTAATTTAAATAGAGTAGGGGGTTTCAATCTCTGGAGATATCTTTAAACCAGCACTAAATTTAAGTTATAAATTTATTTCAAACATAGTAATCTTAATTTGTAATGTGTATGTTAAGTAGCAGAATTACGTTTATTGTGTTTCCTACCATCATTTTCATTCTTTAGCTTAGCTTTTATAAATATATAATCTAGATATCAGAAAAACATTAGTGTCTTCCTGAATGCCTCCTTGCTTTCTCAATTTTGAAGTAATGTTATAGCCTACTAATACTGAGCAGCTGGGAAAGAGATTTCCTTGGGCATGGAAAGAGGTGCTCTGTGGCATATCCTTCTCCTTATCTTGGAAAAATTGAGGTTTCACAATGACAAGAGAGGATTGGAGAAAGGTTCTCAGGCTGCAGTGTTATTTCAATCTAAGTCATCACTGCTTTTTGTAATGCAGCCTTGTGGTGGAGGATGTAATTCCTCCTGGTTTTGTTATCTTCCACTGTGCAAATTTTGGGGTCTAATTTGGATCTCTCTATGCTTAATGGTGTAATTGTGCAGCACCACCATTTTTGGTAGCAGAACTATAGAAAGGTCTAGATTCTAGTAACTTGGAGTCCTTGTTCACTTCTCTGATATGGAAATTCACACTGAGTGTTTAGGAGTATGTAGGAGCATCTTGACCTAACCTGGCTTCATTTAAACTCTTAGAAGAATTGCTGATCTGTATTCTTTCAAAGATGTTTTTTCTGACATACCTTGAATAGAGTGTAAGGACTATGTGATAGCTTCGTCGACTGTCCTTTGTCATCTATAAGCTGCTATGTTTAGAAACCATAGCATAGGCTGTTTATTCAACAGGAAATACCAGTTCTTACTCAAAATCTGACTGTCTAGACTGTCTATACTCTGGTGGTATATCATTTCACCTGTGGCTCTAGCACTTGTTTATTCTGCATTGGTAGACTTTGAGTTGATGCCTAGTATGAGACCAGGGTACTATGGTACTAGTGCAGAGAAGTGCAGAACCAGAAGTGTTTCACCTATCTGATGTAGTTGTATCCTCAGATCTTCTAACTGAAAGAGGAGATGGCAATGTCAGCTTTCAACTTCATCCAAAGTGTGGGTGGCACATACTGGAAAAGTTTGAGTTTCTATTCTTTTTCTACAGTTCTTTATACAGTTAAGTTCTTGAACACTTGTAGTTGATATTACCATCAGTCATTCATGCAGATATGACCCAGATAGGTTGTAGTAAAAATGCCTTGAGTTCAAATGGCTTACCTAGCAGGTGCTGTAGACTCATTGTAGAGCTGAGAGGAATGGTATCCTCATATTTGGAAATTCCAGCTAGTAAACTTAGTAGCTAAGTTTGTGCTGGCTCCCACCTGATCAAGACTGTGGTGTTTGAAGAACAGTGTAAAGAAACTTGTATTTCTTCTGCCTATAGTGTGCATGGATTTTCAAAGAAATAAAGTGAATAATTGTGTGCTATCGGCTGCCCCTTTCTATAAAATCTCAAAAGCCCTTTGGCTGTGTAACCTGAAAAAGCTCTCTTATTCAGGCACAAGTCCCAGTAGGGGTTTCAAGGGGGAATCATTGCACAACAACAATTTTTAAAAACTTTGTTTACCCTATTACCTTTGCAGATGTAAACAACGTTAAGCCAGTAATAAATTCAGTCCCTGGTTTATCTTTGGCCTTCTTCAGTGGCTTTTATTACTCTGCAACAAAACAACGTTCTATCTTCATAAAGAGAAGAATAGTAAAGTTAAATTTGTCAAACTCTTTCTTTTCCCTTAGGGAACTCCTCGAGTTCGAATCCTATCCAATGGGCGATACCTACAGATCAATAACGCTGACCTCAGCGATACAGCAAGCTATACGTGTGTGGCAAGTAATATCGCAGGAAAAGTGACCAGGGAGTTCGTGCTGACAGTACATGGTAAAATCATGGATTCAGTCTTGTGCATTTTGATCTTTGCATGGTATTTCTGCAGGAGCTAATACAGCAAGAAAGAAGCATTAATAGTCTTTTTCTAGCCAACTGTTGGCTGAGTCTGAACTATGGCACCATGTGTATTACCTTGTGTGTGCCATCATCTGAGTCCACAGTCGTCCCCCACACTACAGGACCTGCTGGGGACTCACCATGGCTCCCTGTCCATCTGTTTGCGCTTCCTGTTAATGGAGGGTGCTCTGCATCTAGCCATCATCCTGATAAATAGTCAGGATACATCCAGAATGAATGCCCAGATGCTAGACTGAGAAATATTCTTGAACAAATTCAGAGAACTTCAAGTGCTTTTAACTTCTTAAAAGCACTTGGCTAGCACCTTGGGGACTAGGTTTCATAGCTGGCTTGGCCACCAGTTTTGCAAGTTACTTGAAAAATGTGGCTTCTTCTCTGCACCTGTGAGCCAGAGCTAGTAACAAGATAAGGCTTGAAAGGTCTGATGCATCTAGATGCTTGTCCTGTACTAACTTAGGCCTGAGTTTCATTTTAAACCTATGTATTTTCTCACTTCTAGTCTAATGATAAACTATTCTATTCTCACAGCTGGGTGATGATATGAACCTTTTTTCATATTTCTGTTCACTTCACAGCCCAGTCATATGTACCTGCATTACATTGTGCCCCCCAATGACTGTTCTTCCTGGTTGTCGTGGTTTAAGCCCAGCCGGCAACTTGGAACCACGCAGTCGCTCGCTCACTCCCCCCCCTTTTCCTTCCTCCCCCTGCTCCCGGAGGGATGGGGAGGAGAATCGAAGGAATGTAACTCCCACGGGTTGAGATAACAGCTCTCCAGTAACTAAGGTATAATACAAACCACTACTGCTACCGATAATAATGATAAGAGGAATAACAAGGGAAAAGGACACAACCGCTCACCACCCGCCGACCGATACCCAGCCCGACCCGAGCAGCGATCTGGGCCTTCCGGGTAACTCCCCCCAGTTTATATACTGGGCATGACGTGCTGTGGTATGGAATCCCCCTTTGGCCAGTTTGGGTCAGGTGTCCTGTCTCTGCTTCCTCCTGGCTTCCCCTCCTCTCTGGCAAAGCATGAGACTGAGAAAGTCCTTGGTCAGAGTAAACATTACTGAGCAACAACTAAAAACATCGGTGTTATCAGCATTGTTTCCAGGCTGAAAGTCAAAAACACAGCACTGCACCAGCTACTAAGAAGGAGAAAAAATGACTGCTGTAGCTGAACCCAGGACACTGGTCCAGTTAAAATTCTTTTTCTCCTTAACTTAAAATAAGGAAGAAAGGATATCACCACAGTCTTATTTTGCTGAACTAAATATGCTGAGCTCTTTTACAGTTTTAGCTGTTTGAAATCCTTTGCAGTAATTTGAAAAGATGATCTTTAGAATGCATTTCAGACAAACTTTCTTTTTCATTCCCTACTGCATCACGGCAATTATTGTGCACTACACAAAATGGTAAGAAACTTGGTTTTGTCTTTGCAGTGATCCCCATACCTGTGACTTCATTTATTTTCATGTGTTAGGTTCAGTCGTTGCAGCATGAAGTTTTTTTCTTTAGATAATAAGCAATTTTTGCCTTTACAGTGGCTCCTACAATCCAAAGCAGTCCTCAGTCTGCTGTTGTGCATATAAATGCTTCTGCTATTCTGGAGTGTGCTGCAGAAGGAGTACCAACCCCAAGAATTACATGGAGGAAGGATGGGGCTATTTTAACTGTAAACAATACAAGGTATTGTCCAGAAATCAGCATAAATATTATTAACTGGTTTTTAAGAATGTATTAACTACAGAAAGATTAATTTGACATCTGTGACTTGTAAATTAGTTTTGTTTTCACAAATTAGAACTAATACTTGTACTGTGATCTCAAATAGGCACAAATGTGGAAAATATGGTGATAGAAGCAGTAATATAAAGATGTTTCATACTTTTATTAAGAAGGACAAAAAACTTCTTTGATAATCAAATATAATAATAATTCTTCTAATATTGAAGATTTTGAACAGTAAATGTGAAAGATTTTGTTGTTGTTGTTGTTGTTGTTATTATTATATGGAGTTTTAGGATGAAGCCAAGCAATTTCATGCAGACTAAAGCTACTTGAATGTGAACTGTAGCTTCTAATATATAAAACTTTCTATATCTGTTGCAATATCAACTATCATTATAGTGAATAGTTTCCATCTTCTTATTGTTCTAAAGTGAAGTAGTTGGGATTTTCTAGAACTGAGAAAATGCTAAAGAATTCATTTATATTTCAAAGAAAAAAAAGTACGATCATTTATTAGGCATTTTTTAAGGGTAAATGAGAAACCATACAAAAGAGCTTTTGGATATTTTCTGCGAATCTGGCATCATTTATATGGAATCACTATGTCAGCTAAATTTCATAATTTCTCTGGAAAATAGATGTGCTGGGAAAAATTAAGTCAGAATAAGTGCAATAAATGAGAGAACTCTATATGTCTGAATTAAGACACCACGTCTAGGTGATTTGTTGTGTACACTGAGTCATGTTTTCCCTCTGCAGTACTGAGATAGCTTATGGTTCTGTTGATTGGACAGTAGAAAAAAAATATATGGCTTTATTTCAGATATTCCATGTTAGAGGATGGATCTCTACACATCCGCTCAGCACATGTTACTGACACAGGAAGATATGTGTGTATGGCAGCCAATACAGCTGGCACTGAACGCAAACGAATTGATCTGCAAGTTCTTGGTAAAAGTTTTGGGTTTAGATAAGTATATGTGCTTGAAGTCCAGTTACATCATTGTTCTTGTTCTGTCAGATCATATTTTAAGTTTAGCCCCTTTTTAGCTGCTGTGGTTAAAAAGAAAAAAAAAAACAACACAAAAACAAACAGACATTTGCTGCCTTAGGAATATAACCCAAATGTTCATGAGAAGAATATATTTACTCCTTGTGCACTGCAAATAGAAAGACTTGACACATCCCATGCTGTATGTTTAGGAAGTTTACTACTATCACTCTTTATAAAAATCAAGTAAATGTATTTGGCAGTTCAGCTCTATATGTGTGTGTATATAT